GAGACGAACGTCGAGAACATTAAGGTGACGAGACGCCTGGAGGAGACCATCGAGTACCACAACAACGCTGAGGACACGACCTTCCTGGAGAACGCCTTCTACATCCTGGCCTTCTTTACGGTGGTGATTGGTTGGCTTGCTTTCCAGCTTGGCATCCGCTTTGGACGTGAAGGCGGAGAACTACTGGGAGATCGTCGTGGAGATGCTCTTCAAGCTCCTCTACTTCAACGTGGCGATCAAGATCTACTTCAACGTGGCGATCAAGATCTACTTCAACGTGGCGATCCAGATCTACTTCAGCGTGGTGATCCAGATGTACCTCAAGGAGATGCTCATCTTCTTCCTCAACGCGATGATGTTCGTGGACCTCTTCGTGACGATTCACCGGATGATGATGGAGACTGGGAGCTTGGTGAGGAGACGCCTCAAGTGGTGAGGCAACACAGGCTCTACAAGGCCAATGGCGTGGACTACTCTGAGAAGCTACTGCGTCATTGGGAGACACACCGTGAAGTCTCAACGGAAGCTCTTGAGGAGTTCGAAGGTGCTGGAACAGCAGCTGCTGTGGCTGCCCAAGAGGAGTTCAACAACAGAGCTGCTGACCCTGGAGCGCAAGGCGAAGAAGTCTGGTTGGTTGGCCGTGGCTCTGCTTTTCACAAAGTGAGCTGTGGCATGGTCAAGAAGGCCCAACCGCAAGGCAAGGCACGTTCTCTGAGCCGAGTGACCGCCGTAGCACAGGGTTACAAGAGCTGTGGACAGTGCAAGCCGTGAGTGTTCTTTTGCGTGCTTTGAGCCGAGTTTAAAGTTTTCTTCAGAAGCCCAAGCAGCTGGCCTAAGAGGCTAGCGTTGAGAGTGGTGCTAAAGGCATTGCTGCCGAAAGCTTGTGGTTTTCAGAGGCCTGAAACAGGCCACCGAAAAAGGGGGGTAACAACCTTTTCTAGTAGCCCTAGACCCCTGTTTTACCTTTGAAGCTTGATCTGCGAACGAGCAGATTTGACAATCATGAGTGATCGAACCGAAGGCTCAAGGTTGCACAAAAGAGTGAGACCGCAAGTTTTGGTTTGGGTTTTTAGAAGCGCTGAAGGCCATCGGCAGGGAGAAGTTCGCATTAGTAATGACGAGCTTCTTTGACGATTTTACCGTCCTTACTCGCACTGCGAGCGCCAAGCACGTTAGCCTCGTTGTGGCCAACATGTTCAAGAAGCTCGGCTGGCAAGTTGCCACCGAACCCAAGAAGAATGTTGACTTCAGAGAAGTCTTTGATGTGCTAGGAGTCCGCTTCGACTTGTCGAAGCAACACCTTGGACTCATCTCTGTGCAGAACAAGCCGACCCGTGCAGCTGAGCTAGGCATGGTCCTCAGCGAGGCCATGTCCCGTGGATCCATGTCTCCACATGAGGCACAAAGTCTGCGCGGCCGCCTCATCTTTGCAGAGCAACAGACTTGGGGCCGCAATACACGCATGGCACTGATATGTGTTGGCGATGTCGCCGGAGAGGGCCCGGATCAGATGGCTTTGTCTGAGCAGCTCCAGGCAATGGATTTCTTACTGAAGCGTGTAGTGCACGGCCCGCCTAGGACAGTGTCCATCCATAGGCGCCAGCGTTTTCACTTGTATATCGATGGTGCCTGCGAATGGGAGTCTCCGCGCATCTTCCCTAAGTGCGGTCTAGGAGCAGTGCTCCTGGGAGAAGGAACCTGCCTGACCTGGGGTCAGCAGATAGGTCAG